ATTTCAGTCCCCCAGTTTTTTGTCTATCCCTATGTATTGCAAGTTAGATTGGAGCAAAATCTGGGCCAAAAGTGTTTTTTCTACAGCACCATGCTAAGAACCCCTTTTGGTAACTGCAAGGACCAATATATGGTGCCACACTGCAAGCTGCTAAAGAGTACAACCTACTCTCAGAGATATAAGACTTAATTAACAAGCCTATTATTATTATTTTTTTTTCTGTTGTGTTTTCATTTGCACCAGGCTAACTAAATTGGTTCTTGTGGTAGGGTGCAGATGCCAAGGTGGTGAGAGACAATCTCTTTAAACTGAAGGGCCATCCTCACCTTTATCAAACAGTTATTGGTCTGGGAGGAAAAATAAAAGGAAAATTACACATGCAACGAACATGAAAACAGAAAAACATTCAGGTTTGAGGAGGCTAGAAAGGTTGAAAGAAATCAAATGTGCTCTGGACTGATAAGCTTCTCTCTGACGCCGCCTTGCCTTTCACTGCTGTTGTATATGAGGAGGGGGAGAAGTGGGGTAGAAAAAGAGGAAAGAACAACGTTTATCATTGGAAGGAGAGGTGAAAGGAAACGAATCGAACGTGAAACGAGTCTCCTTCTCTCTCTACAAGAGCGCTCTTGTCAGCAGGGGGTTCAGATAGACTCGGTTTGCCTGAGTCTGTTGACCCTTCCTTATCAGCACCCTGGGGATTCAGAGAGGCAATTAAAATGGGTTTAGCGCTTTACATTTTCCACGGGCTGCGAAGCCAAAGAATGGCATTCAATTCACTGCATGTATGGCAGCGTCCCAAGGAAACAAGCAGTATTTCAGTTAGGTGTACGTGAATGAGTAAAGAAGAGTTGCTTTTGGTTCTTCAGACCTCTTAAAATATGAAGCGTTCCTGAATGGTTCTTGGCTTCAATGTACAGTGAACCTTGTCATTATGTTGAGGTCCTACACTGACATATTTCCCTTACGTAATGGTTATTTAAGGAACCAAAAGAGGTTCTTCTATGGCAGTGGTCACCAAACTTCCTCCTGAAGATGTTCCTTCCTGCTGGTGTCACCTCCAACCCAAATCTACACCTGATCAATATAATCAAGGACTTGTAATGGGAATAGAAGGAAGGGGTGGATAAAGTGTCCAGCAATGAGGTTGGTGACCACTGTCCTATGGCTTTGCTCTGAAGAAACCTTTTTGTCACCTTTTTTATGTCCCTTAAACTGGACACTCACTTCAATTGAAAATTTGGAAGGTGGTAGAAATCGTCCTAAATTTGCTAAAGTTAGCCTCTTAGCTAAGCTACAAAAATGGACTCTGCCAGCTAATCATCAAGCCACAAGCTAGAATGCACATAGCAACTAGCTAACAAACTAGCTTCATTTACATATAATCTGGTGAAAAGATTTGGACATCATGCAGGCTTAGTAAAAGATCACCATAAGTTCAGTTCGGTGGACAACTCACCAACATGGTTTGAATCAACTTAGAGTGATTGAGTGCATGCGTGCCACACAACTCGTGCAAACCTTTCTCCACAATGTGGCCAAAGAATAAGACACTCCCTATCAACACTGAAAATGGTGGGCTTTTGTGTTTTTTCTGTAAACATATATTTTTTTAGTGTGATTTTTTTTCTGCCTTAATCGGGTGCCCACTGCTCGCCAGCCTTCTGGACCAGCTTGGCCACCATCGAGCTTCATGCTGTACAACACTGTGTAATCCTCACCCTCATGAACTAACCCTCCCAATGATGCTGCTGCCGCTGCATAATCTAAAACTAATCAAATTAACCATTGCTTCACCTATCTTCCTATTTTTACTAACAATGTTTGCTATCTGGTGTCGACCAGAGGAGTATGGGTTCCCCTTCTGAGTCTTGGTTCCTCTCAAGGTTTCTTCCTCTTGCTCTTAGGGAGTTTTTCCTTGCCACTGTTGCCACTGGCTTGCTCATGGGGACTTGGACCCGGATTTTTCTTTCTGTAATGCTGATTTTTCTGTAAAGCTTCTTTGTGACAACACCTGTTGTAAAAAGAACTATATAAATAAACTTTGCTTGCTTGTTTGATGCAGCGACAGTAGTTAATGGTTTAGTCACACTGCAGGTAACACCAAGGAATTCTGGAGAAAAGAGGTGGTTGAAAGATCTGGGTATACTTTTCAGAACTTACATATAGTTTTAGACTCTGGCCTGCATCATTCTGACCCAACTTAACCTGTGTTTGGAAATACAGAACTTATGTTTGTGGTTCTCAAATAATTACTAACAATTACTGAAGAATAAGATTAACTGAATAATGAGCTTCACATATTACATACTGGTGAAGGCCAACGACACACATATGCTCAAACTCTCTTTTTTGGTAAAGAAATTTTCATGAAGAAATCAGTCCAACAGCACAATCCTCACAAAAATATAAGTTTATTTATATGCATCATAGAAATGAAAAAGAACTGGTTTTGATTGTTCTTACGGTGCATGACAAGAAAGTTGCAATCAAAAATGTAAAAGGGATTGAATATTTTATACAGTACTGTGCAAAGTTTTAGGCAACTGAAAAAACTCTGGTATTACAACAAATACAGATGACTTTGATATAGTAAGTAGTGATTTTACATGTGTCAATGTGTTTGTTTAACCATTTCCAAACCTCTACTCTTGGTAGCCCAGTATTATTTGCAGTTATCATCCAATACCTGATTTGGCTAATAAGTGCTTCCTTATGTAAAATCAAGTGTACTGGTAATGGAATTTAGCAAATCTATGTGATGGCTGGGGACATCCAGGGGATCTAGAACCAAACTTTGTTCTTCAGACCAGCTCACAAGATATCAACTACTTTTTTTCAAAAGTCTTTTTTTATTTTTTAATGTATTTGTTATATGTGATATCATTATGTGATATTATAGACCTAAACATAAAAGTTTAGGCCACTAGGATAGTACAGCATGGTAACTCAAAATGTTTGATAGAACGTTTTAATAAAGAAAACACTACGATATTACGCACTGGTGGTGAGCAAACATCACAAAAAAGTTTAATCCACTAAGGGGGTGTAGAACAATGTGATAACTACAAGTCATTTCTAGTAAAAATCCCATGACTCTGTATGTTCCAAATAGTGCTGGAGTTTCCCTTGATGTGCATCTGTATGCATTTTTTAGCCTCACTGTCCTTTGCTGAAAACTTCACGTATTAAAATTTAAAACCACTTTGTGTGGACATGCATTCTGCATTAGACACCAAAGATGTTTCAGAAACCCTCATCCATCTTACAAGGTGGAGGATGACCTTGGTTGACATGGCGCTCAGAACCGGGAAGAGCTTTTCATCTCCCTCAGACTTTGTGTCTAATAAAGCAGAGGTGGCTGCTTTTTTTTCATCCAGCAGAAAAACCTCATGTAAGGTCTGCTGTCAAACATGTATCCTCAGTAAGGGGGAGCTGTGTAGGGCCTACGGCTGCTGGGTCCCGTCTGCGGCGCGCGTCTGGAGCCCTAGACGAACACTCCGGTGGATCAGAGCCATGCATTTGCTTATCTGCTGAGAGCTGAGGGACAATGTAGACAGCAATTCCTCCCTGAGGAGACGCTGGCACGGCGCCTACAAACAGTGTTCGCCCTGGAAAGCCTCTGTGCCGTACTATTCTACAACGAAATGCTTAACATCCTTCAGTCTCCAGCAAAATACCTTCCAAGCAAATCACATTCTGAATTCACTGTCAGTTGTTTTTGGTTTCTTGTGAGCCTGGGGAACAGACATCTCTATCAGATAAACAGTAAAGCCATAGTCATAGGAATTTTAAAGCCTGGTTGCCTTAACATTTTGAGTAAATTTAACTTCAAATAATAAGTTAACAGAACGTAAAGTGATTATTCACACTTAGTTTTAAATCTAAGGAAACCACATTACTTATTGTTTAGAGCTACACTATTTAAGTTTTGGAGATTTGGAGACCTCTCTGGTCGAAATGTGTAACTGCACACAACGTGCAGAAGAGCACTTTGTAATGCTGATTGTGCATTGACCGCTTCCCCGAGTGGATGAATCTGATAATTGCAAATGCATTGAAAGAGTATTCAAAGAGAACTCAGTCAAAACTTGGCGCAGAACGTTTCTCCCAAGAATGTAAGCAAATTATCTACTATTGTCATCATATCTTGAATCGATTGTCATTGATTATCATGAATATCAGTGGATTTTGAGCCTTCTTTTTGAGCCTATGCATGTAACATTAATACATAAAAGATGTATGACGTGGTCCGAAAAACTGAAGCAAAATCTACTACTATTTCAGGCTTTACAGGGCTGCGGCACACGGATGTTGTTTAGCATTTTTTCCTCAAAACTATATGATTAATTGTTTTTAAAATCATTTGACAGTCCTAATAATCTGTTTCGAGCAAACAAATTATAGCTAACATTATCCTAAAATGTCCTGCCTGCATATCCCTCAGTGAAAAACATGTATTGCAGTTACTGAATAATAAACATGCAGATTGTAAGCCAGCAGTTTAAGTGGTTACTCCTCTGTTGGGTTCTTTTGATGTTTAGCAAGTTACAAAGGAGAAGTTCTTTGGAACAGCTTGTGAGTGGAGGGGTGTTTCATCATTTATTGCTCAGATGTCAAAGGCACATTATCCTCTTTGCTAATGAAAGGATTTCTCCCTCTCAACTATTGAACATCACTTCTTGTTTCATGAAGATCTAGAGTGTTTTTAAACTGTCCTTCAGCACATCTACATTCATTACAACCTTTGATTGGATAAGACCCTCAAAGCAGGTACTTGTTCAAGCAGCTATCTATTTAGTCATCACTCTATGGCTTCTTCAACTCATTGAGATGTCTGAGAAGGGTCAGCCCTGTCTAGCTTGCCAGAGATGAATCTTTCTTGTGTCAGGTTAGCCTTCACTGATGCCTGAAATGTTCCACCTGCCAGAAATCTGGCAGGCGTCATCCTTTGTGAACACCTTCGATTTGGTGCTGTAATGAAGACAAAAAGCTGCTCACCTATGGGTGTAGCATGTGACGGCGAGTCACGTGGTACCAACGGCAATCCCCGTGAGAGACCTGTAGGATGTTTTGTAAGCGTTCTCCCCTTTGTAGCAAAACTCCTTTATGCAGAGGTCCACTGAAATTCATACTGGCATCGGAAAAGTACACAAGATTTGCTTTTCTCCTCTTTGCCTGCTACTAGAACTTCAAGGATCTTTCATAAAGATAACTACTTACGTCAGTTATTTAGTGATTGAAAGCCTTTTGTAACCAAGCTCTGCTCTTAGCCAGCGTGTGAATATGTGGTCTTAACAGCTTACATGAATGTCCACAGAGCCTCAGCATGAGTTCTATTGAAGTCCAAAATCCGGAGGTCAGTACCTAGTGTTCTGCACAGTAACAGGTCTATGCATAGAATGCGTGGGAGTCTGCTAGAGCATTGAGCCTCAAGCTTTTAAACGCCTGCTGAGAGCAAAAGTTGACCCTTTATGAATAATATCTGCAAACAGAAATATTACATTTAAATGAGATAAAAAAAAAAGAGAAAGAAATGTTTGTCGAACTGAAACATATCATCCCCGTCATAAGAAAACCTCCCAACTCGGAAACTGTTACTACAGAAGAAAGAAAAAAAATGTAATGAGATTATATTCCAAGCAATTCAGGATCATTTCTATTGCTGAATTCATCATGAAATGTTCAATCAATGTAAAGAGAGGTTGACATTTTCAAATGGGTTTAAAAAATCAAAAAACCAAGCAAGGCCTTAAGCAAGGTTTTTTGGGGGACTCCCATCTTACTAGCTGAGGTACTGTAAAATTATTGGCTAAATAATAGTGATGACTACTACAAGTTTTCTAAATTACATGCATTTAAAACTGGCTAACTTGTGCATTGCTGATGATTGGATGCTTGTTTGGGGTTCTAATTTAATAAGTTAAATTAGTTAGTCATTTCAGATAAATTTCTTAGTATTCTTGATCCAGGGGTCTGTCCCATGATGCAGTATTTCTTGCTTACCCAGATAACTTAGTTCAATTTAATCCTGGTGACTGTGGCAACAGCATTGTTTCTAATATTTAGGTGGTAGATTTTCTTTTTCCTTTTTTGGGGACTCCTGCTTATGTTTCATGCAATTGGCTGTTTGTCATGTCACAATTTCATGGGTACAGATGAGGAGTATCCACAGCCTGAATATCTAAACCTGGATTAATCACAGCCTAAGTTTCTTAAACTATTAATCACAGCCTGAGTTTCTTAAACTATTAATCACAGACTGAGTATCTAAACCTGGATTATTCACAGCCTGAGTATCTAAACCTGGATTAATCACAGCCTGAGTTTCTAAACCTGGATTAATCCCAGCCTGAGTTTCTTAAACTATTAATCACAGACTGAGTTTCTAAACAAGGTTTAATCACAGCCCGAGTATCTAAACCTGGATTAATCACAGCCCGAGTATCTAAACCTGGATTAATCACAGCCCGAGTATCTAAACCTGGATTCATGTTGCCCAACTACAAGTTAAAACAAATGGCATAAATGTTAAAACCACAAAAAACAAAACCTTTATCTTCAAGCTTTCTCTCCTCATCTTCCCTTTCTCTTTTCTGTTTGTTGGGTCCAGATACTTTTTTTTTACTTTTAAGATATGATTAACCAGTTGCTTTTCCCCCTTACTCAAGCATCTTAGACAGCATAATGGTACATTAATAACCCAGACGATGTTAGGTGGCCCCCTGATGGTCCTACGTAGCTGCTCATGTTGCTTATTAAGTACGTCCAGCTGGAACTGAGCGAAATCAACAGTAGGAATAGCATGTGTAACTGTTTAAATGCTATATGTAATTGTTCATTAAACCTGTACAGCCATTCTATTCTGATTGCAGTGATTGTCATGTAGATACATTATTAGATTAACTTTTATTATTACACTCTTTTATATGTAGCTATGGCTATAGCAGCTCATTGCTACACATTAATACTATTGAGAGTTTCAACAATAGAGTAAGAGTCACCTGCATAGAACATTCTTACTTTACCTGATACTCCAGATACAGTGAATATGTTGAGTGTCAAAGTGTTCTTTGAAGAACAAGAGTTGGAGATTCTACAAAAACCTGCTATCAGTGGAATTGGTGGGTGTATTGTTTGTTTTCTGAGCACAAGACAGACGTCCCTTGTTCAAGGAACATTGAGCTGCCTCAGAAAACATCCATATGCAACCTCAGGGCAAGGACTTTTGAGAGACTCTCTCTGAACACGGAATAAGGCATGTAAAAAGTCAGCTCTTCATTTGCAGTTCCGACCAAAAGCATTTGTCTCTAGCTAATAGCATCAGGGACCTGCCTCCATCACTGCAATAACAACAAAGTAATTGGTATTCAGGCAATTCAGTATTTAGAGCTGGAGAGTGGATTTCGAATTGCCATGCAGATGGCACAGAACAGATTTATTTTTAGGATCAGAAAGGTATCAGAAGGGGTTCTTTGGAGCAATGTTGTAAAAGAACCACTTTTGCTTTCCTGAAGAACCTTTTAAAAAGGCAGTTCTTTAAAGAACTAATTTTAAGAGTGTGAACATGGGTGGGTATTTAAGTTCATTGTTGGGGGCGAGAATAAACAGAAAAAATTCTCAAGAGCAATTCGGGCATATATATAAATACACAGATGCTGCATTGTTGTTCTCTATCTGAGGCGTTATGTTGGAGTGATCAAGATCCACTTGTAAACAAATGCACGTGTACTAAGATATGGTGAGTTCGCATAATAAAATAAAATAAAAACTTCCTTATTACCCAACCGATTTTCATCATTTTTTTTTTTTTATAATCTTCAGACATCGATTAATCTAGGTTGCAAAGATTGCTGTCAGTAGCTTTTATTTCTGTTTCATAACTGTGATCGTGCTGGTTAGCTGTCCACAGCAGCAGGAAAAGAATTCTGCAGCTGATGTTAAAAACAGTTTAGTGCGAGCTGTGATTGTAGAAACACAATCACACATCAGCAAATCCATAAATATGTAAATCAGTTCTACTCTTCATGCACATAAAATTGCAATAACACTCCCAAAACACAGTAAGAAGGTGCTAATCTAATGTGAAACTATACTGATTAAGGAATGCTGTACCTACAATTCTTACTCAGCTTTAACAATCATTGTAAATACATGAAAATAACTACCTCACATCAGGTTAAGATCCTCTGTAAAGGTTATTAAATGAAATAAGCTTAAACCAGAAGAAAAAAAATCACACCAAGAAATGAAATAAACCAGAAGAAAAACAATCACACCAAGTTCTCTGTGCTTCACGAACCACACAGTCATATCTACATATAAACATCACACAAACATGAGTGTCAACCGCTGTGTTGTCTCTGTTATATAATCCTATCCCACTTTTTGAGTGCAATATTCTTGTAGCATAATTTTGGACAATACCTTCATCATGACAGATTATGTTCAGTAATATAAGTAATATAACTAGTTTGTGTTACCTTTGCCATTCATACCACCATTGCCATTAATACCAATGACATTAATGACATTTGTCATAATGCTTGATGTCATTATAGTTAATTAAAGTACATTTGTAAAAAAACTAGCATGTGATATAAGTTGCCATGACATATGTCATGACAGTTAATGGTAATGGTATCATGACCCTGTTATATTACTGAACAAAGTCTGTCATTGACCCTTTTAAATATCAATTATTCAATTATAGACCTATTTCAAAAATTCCTTTTGTGGGCAAAATCATTAAGAAAGTAGTTTCCAGTCAGGTAGCTTTTCCATATTGGTTCTTTGTGGGGTTTGATACAGTTGACCACTAAATATTACGTGGTCAGCTCCGAGTGTAATAGTCATAGTAGTGAATACTACGCTGTGGGACATGTTCTAGCTTTCATCTTGTGGAGTTCCCCAGGGCTCCATCTTGGTTCATTATTATTTAATCATTACAGGTCTATTTGCTCTTAATTTTACTGCTTAATGGACTTAAATTCTTGAATGTGTCATATTTTTATGCAACTAAACAAAGATAAAACAGAAATATTTGTTATTGGGAACAGAGATCAGAGAAAATATGTGTCGGCTTAGTTGAGTCCCCACCCACTGAAGCTAAAAACTTGTGTCAAAAACCTGGGAGTTATTTTTGATAGCGACCTCACTTTTAAAAATCATATAAATAATGTTTGTAAAGCAGCATTTTACTACCTCCAAATTATATCCAAGAGCCTTACATATTTATGGTATGGTAATGTCAGTGGGTTCAAGTAAAGTGTTACTCCTTTATCACACCTTATGGATGTCCCAGCCTTTAGTACTGCAGAAAGTGAGAAAAGGTCTCTTTTTCAACCAGCTCTGCCACTCCCAGCTGTGTATCTCTCCATCTGTCTGATATATCTGGCAGTTCTGATGTGCGTTGGGCAAAATAAGGAACACTGGGTCGTGTTTCACCTTTGTTTGCTGCCTGACATTTTCTTTCTTCAATGAAGAGATCTAAAACAAATCAGCTGCTTTGAGGTTTTCGTCTCAATGTCTAAGGCAATATGCTCCACTTTTCCACTTCTACTAGACAGATATAGAAACTTGGGCAAGTGTTTCAATAAGAACAGTGACTAAAGTCAGCTAACCTCTGTGTTTAAGTTCCATGGGAAAGACATCATTACAGAGTGTTGGGCATTTTGGTCAAAAGCTACTATTCTTCTGTTCTTCAGGTGACTGAGAAGGTCAGTGCAGGACAAGATCAGACTGTCAGCAAGAAAAATCCTTCCACAAGTACAGAGATGGATATTACAGCAAATCAATACAAGGTTATTCCGACTGTTCACCTCCATCTTATGATGAAACATTTTTATTCTGATGGAAGTGTTCAATTCCAGGCTGATAATGCCCCCAAGCACAGGACACGAGGGGTCACTGAATAGTATGATGAGTATGATGTAAAGCATATAGTCTGGCCTTTGCAGTCACCAAATCTCAAGCCAACTGAAGACCTGTAGAAGATTTTGGACCAATGTGTCAGACTGCCCACCACCATCATCATTTTTTTTGGAAGAATG